CAGGTAAATATCTTTCTGGTATTCTCTGTTTTTAGCCAAGATCATCTGACATCAGTGATAGTGCCCTTCATCCCACATCCTCTTCTTAATTTGGCATGAACTAATGGAAGTTCCCCATTGATGTACTGAGGCAGCCATTTAAAAATTATCTTCAGCACACTTTTTACTTGTATATGATATTAATGATAATTGTTTGATAGGTTCTGCTTTCTGTTGGATCACCTTTCTTTGGAATGGACACTGAAAAGACATTCTTATAGTCAGTTGGTAAGGTAACTGTCTTCCAAATTCTTGACTTAGAAGTAAGCGTGTTCCCAGCACTGCATCCTTTGTTGAATCGTCTGAATTGTTATTCAGTCAGTTCCTGGAGCCTTGTTGTCCTCACAAAGTCTTCAGTAAAGCTTTGACTTTTTCCTTTTATACCATTGGTTCTGGATGGCATGCTTTCTCCTAAAATGGCTGAAGACAACTGATTAATTTTGGTACAATGACTCTGAGTTTACTTACCATCTTCCTATGATGCATCCTGCTCTTAGAATCCTTCAATATTGCAATTCAAGGTTTTAGGAGGAGGAGGAGAGAACTTTATTTCTTCGGTTCTTTCAGCTTTGAAAATGCTGAGCATGTTCTTCCCTTTTGATTTCTTATTTCTATGTCTTTGAACATTTCCTGACAGTACTTTATTTTTTTTCTGGCACACAAAGCACAAACTAGTATAGATTACAACAAAAATTTATTTCAGATTGGTAATACAGCATGGCAATTTGTAAAGAAAAGAGAAAGCAGACATGAATAATTGCAGTGAGGGAAACCAAGTTCCAAGAGAATGAACATCTGCTTCCAATGATTGGAAATCATATATCACTTTTTTGTAGTTTGGAGGCAATGGCTTATTCAAGGATCACTGGTAACAAAATAGGTAAGGGCCTCAGTTCATTGTTCATAAAAAAATGGCCACATTATTAAAGCAGGCTAGTTTTTTTGTAAACTAGAAGTTCTTCTACAAGATAAAGCAGGGACTGTATGTTGTTGTTGTTGTTGTTGTTGGGTGCCATCAAGTCGGTAACAACTAATAGCAACCTTATGCACAGCAGAACAAAACACTGCCCAATCCTGGGCCAACTTCACTACTGTTGCCATGCTTGAGTCCATCAATGCTGCCACTTGGCCAATCCATTTCGTTGGGGGTCTTCCTCTTTTTCTCTGACCCTTCAACTTACCAAACATGATATCCTTCTCCAGCAACTTGTCCCTCCTGACAATATGTCCAAAGTATGAGAGACAAAGTTTGGCCATCTTGACCTCCAAGGAGCACTCTGACTGTATTTCTTCCAACACAGATCTGTTGGTTTTTTTGGCAGCCCCTGGTACTTTCAATATTCTCCTCCAACACCATAACTCAAAAGCATCAATTCTTCTATGGTCTTCCTTATTCACTGTCCAGCTTTCACATGCACATGAGGTTATTGAAAATACCATGGCTTGGGTCAGGTGCACCTTAGTCCTCAAGCTGATATCTTTGCTCTTCAACATTTTAAAAAGGTTTTGCGCACCAGATTTGCCTAATGCAATATGTCGTTTGATTTCTTAAATAACTATGGTGAAAGAATACAACCCTGTTGCACACGTTTCTTAATCTTAAACCATTCAGTGTTTCCGTGTTCTGTTTGAACAATTGCGTCTTGAGTTATGCCCCATCAACAAATGAAGGTCATGCACGCTTTACTCCCACAGGCTTTACTCCATGCACGTCATCAAGTTCAGCTCTACTTTGAGGAGGCAGCTCTTCCCCAGTCGCATTTTGAGTGCCTTCCAATCTGAGGGGCTCATTTTCTAGCACTATATCTGACAGTGTTTCTCTGCTATTCATAAAATTTTCAGTGACTAAATATTCCGAAGTAGTTCATCACTCCTTCTTCCTAGTGTGTCTTCGTCTGGAAGCTCATCTGAAACCTGTCCACCATGGGTGGCCCTGCTGGTATTTAAAATACCTGTGGCATAGCTTCCAGAATCACAGCAACTCACAAGCCATCACAGTATGACACACTGACAAATGAGTGGTAGAAAAAGTCGTTAGTCTTGCAAATTTTTGTCAGATGCTCTCCAGTGTTAGTGCTCTCACCAAGGCCATATTTTCTGGCTACTAAGCTCTTTCACTGTTTCCAGTGTTCCTATTCCGATCCCCAGAAATTGCCAATGCATCTTGATATCATGTTTGATCAGTCTATGGAGATGGACATCTTAGTGAAACGGATTGACTCAGTGGCAGTAGTAATGCATGCAAATGTAACAACAACTGTGAGAATTGTACAGGTCTGGACAGTGTTTCATTCTGTTGTGTATAGGGTTGCTGTGAGTTGGAAACAGCTTGGTGGGACCTTATACCAATGCAATTTCACTCCTAGATGAGAAGAAGTCAGCCATAGAAACAAAATATTTATGATACTGTGAGAGACAAAAAATGAGTAAGGTGATAAAGTGAGAGGAAAATAATAGAACCCAAAAGAATAAGACTTGTCCAAGATCCCACAGTCACTAAATGGTACAACTTCATTTAATGAAGGTCTTTTGGACTAATCTTTTTATCATACTTGCCATTTTATCAAGTAAATGAGACAATATCTGGAAAACTACAATATTTTTACATTATAAATATTATAATTTTAGTAATTGTATAGAAGTTGACTGGTATAAAGGGGTCTTTATTATCTATCAGTGTGGTGCATGCTATGAGATGTTTCCCCACAAGGACTTGACCTTTTGTTACTGGTATTACTAGTTGCTGCCAAGCCAGCGACAGCTCTCATGTACAACAAAATGAAATGTTACTCACCCCATGCCACCCTCAAGATCACCAGCATGCTTGACCACTATTAGCAAGGTCCACAGTTCAAACCCACCAGCTGTTTCTGGCAGACTATATCCAGGTTCACTATGGGTTGGAACTGACTAGAAGGCACTTAATGATAACAACAACATTTTACTGCACTTAAATACCATCTTTTGTTTATCCATTTATCTGTTGTTGAGCAATTTGTTTTTTTCCAACCTGGAGATTATTATGAAAAGTGCTTCAGTGAACATTGGTGTGCAAGTATCTGAACTTCTGTCTGAACAGGTGATTCTACATAAATGATTCATTTTTTTTATTTCATCAGTTTGAAACATGTACCCATTTTCTTTATTGGTTGATAAATTTAAAGGAGAAAAATGATATCTCTTAGTAACTTTTTTTTTCAAACCTTTTT